TTGCTTTCTCTCTCTCTCTCTCGCCCTCTCTCTCTCTCCCTCTCTGTCCCTCTCTGGTCAAATAAATAAATAAAGTTGAATTAAAAAAAAAAAGCCAGAAACAGATGCCCACAGAGGCTCTTTGGCTTCCTCAAAGCTGCACACCTTACAGAGTAGAACTGTGGTTTGCATCCAGACAGCCTGGCCAGCCCAGAAGGCACACACCTGACCGAACCAGAGTACAGTTGTCGGCTAAGAGAAGAGGCCAAATTTTAGAGCCACCTTTGCATTTTACAGCTAAAGACATGGAGCCTGGGGAGAAAGAGTGATTTCTGCCTTCTAGAAAGTGAGCAGGCTGAGAGCAAGCCGCAGTGGGGAAAGTAGAGCTGGGCTTGGAGCACAGGGGTGGGGGAGGGCAGAGGCTGCAAGAATCAGGGAGGGAGGGAGAGCATCTGGGGGGGTGGGTACGGGGCTTAGAGGTGTTGGTGGATGTAGGAGGTAGTGGGAATGGGTTGGTAGGAGACTGAGCGAGGAGGGGAAAGCAAAAGAGGAGAACTGGGGTGAGCCAGCTGGAGCAGAATAGCGGGGAGAGGGAGAGAGCACCCTACCACCCAGGGCTCCCTCCTTTCTCTCCCCCATCCTCCCCACCTCTCCAAACTACACTCAGCCAGCCTCATTCCTCAAGCCTTCCCAGTCCTCTTCAGCCCAGAGTTGCCTCTCCCTCTGAACTCAGGCTCTCACTATCCATGCGCCTCCTCTGGCAATTAATCCTGGCACCTATGACATCGTTTGCATGGCTGATTAACTCTTGCATGGTTGCTTAAGCTTTTGAGTGCCCTGTCCCTGTTCGAGACTGTAGGCTGCTTGAGGACAGGGACTGGGGACTCAGGCTTCTCTTCTAGGCTATCTACCTTAGCTCCCAGCAGGGAGCCTGCCACACAGTAGGCACGCAGGACTTCGTGTTGGTTGGTTGACTGACTGACTGGCAGTAAATGAAGGGATATTAAGGAGCGTGGGGGTGAGAGCGACTGCGGTGGTAACCCAGCAAGAGCAGCAGCATGGGGACTGGGGGAGGGCACATTACCCGGAGTAAAAATAGGCTGGAAAATGTGACATTTATTAACTCGGATTCCGGAGGAAAGGTCACAGCAGAGTGGGGAGTGGGAAGGAGGAAACGGGGAAGGCAACAGAAAACACACAACAGCCCCCACCAAAGCCTGTCGCTGTCTCTGACCCTCTCACTGCCTGCGCCCTGGCAGGCTCCCACTAAACGGCTCACCTACCCAAACGCCTCCAAATCCACATCGGGATCTCCGTGTCCTCGCCACACAGCCAATCATGGGCTTTGTGTCCTCATCAGAGACCCCAGCCTTCATCTCTGGTCTTGGCCCTCTGACATCCCCCATCGTCCCCACCATCGTGGTCATGGGCCCCTCTAACCCACAATCTCAGGCTCTGGTGAGTCTGCAGCAGATTCAGCCCCAGAATGCCAGGTCTCAGGGAGAGTCCAGCAGATGGGGGACCGAGTGTGAGCAGAAAGGTACCAACCTAGGCCGGATTGGGGACAGGGCAAGCAGGAAGCCTGAAGGGGAATTCCTGTCCCCCCAGGGCTTGCTTGCCCCCTCCTGTCACTGTCCTGCTGCAGCCCAGTGGCTAAGACCCACCAGCTTCTGCCATTCTCCTCTCGCAAGCCCCACAGTACCAAAGGGCCTACGGGAAACCTCCCCTCACTCCTCCAGTCAGACCCTAGGTTCTGGGGACTCACCAGCCTTGATCAGGGGACTCCAAGCACCTCCTGCTCTCCTGGAAGCCAGGCAGGACTCCTCTGCCTCTGCTCTTCCTTCCTCTCCCCCTCCATCTTTTCCTCCCCTTCCCTCTCACTGAGGTCTCATCACCCTTCCCCTTTTCCTCTCCACCCCCAGCCAGGGCCTGAGACACAAACTCCGCTCAGGGACACAAAGACCCCATTGATTTCTGTCCCAACAGCACCTGCTGAGACAGGGCGCTCTGTCCCTCCACCCCCAACACAGAGGGGTGAAGATGCAGGACAGAGGTGCCCCATGGATCCCAGAGGCCACACTCACACTCCACACCCCACCCCCTTCTTGGGGACTCTCCCAGCCCTGACTTCGGAGAGCAGTCATTTTTCCTACAAGAGCAGTTGTACAACCGGACAGTACGCCAGCGCCCCCGACCCTTCTCCCAGCACCATCCTGTCCCTCCATCTCTACCTAACCCCACCCTCCCTAAGGTAGGAGGCCCCAGACACTGCAGGGATGGCAGGGCCTGGAGCCGGCAGGAACACGTTTCCTGGTGAGACTGAGGCAGCGGGTGAGAGAGAACCCGGGGCGGTGTGGGGAGTCCCCATCTCCAGGGCTGGCTGCTGGAGGCTGAGCCGGGCTGGGTACCATGTTGACGCTGCCACGTATCTGCACACGCACCGGGCGGTGGTAACAAAGACGAAAACACAGCCGCACACACACAGGCTGGGAGTAAGCCGTGGACCGGGGACAGGCGCTGAAGCACCATGAATACTAGATCCCCTTGACTGTGGTTGAATGGAGCACTGACTGACAGACAGCGTACAAGACAGGTCCCCCACTCTCACACACCTGACTGTGGGAGGTGAGCAAGGGAGAGCAGCCCAAGCCCACATCCACTCCCGGGGAGAGTGCGTGTGTTTGTGCTCACGCAGATGTGAGCGATGGCACCAGCCGTCCCCGAATGGGTTGGGGTAGCTGGGGGGAGGCTGTCACGAGAGGGCCTGGCATCCACAGTGTGACCTGTGAGAGCTGGGGTACGGGCACCGAGATGAGGAGCGCTCCGGTGTGTGGGTACGGGGTGGGCAGGTGTGCACGTGAGTAGTGGCAGGGACACTGTGTGTGTGAGAGGGAGTGTGCGGGAACTGTACAGTGTGCGTGTGCAGTTGTGTGCACGCGTGCCGGCAGCACTGAGGGCGAGGTAGCACATTAGAGTGCCTGAGCGAGTCCCAGTGTAAGAGCCAGGACTGGGCAAAGGAGCCGCCGGAACAGGAGCCGGAGGGGGCCTCTGGCACGCCGGGGAAGCTGGAGGGCAGCATGAAAGAGGGATGTGTGAGGGCGGCTGTGAAGGGGTGTGTGGGAGAGACGCACACAGACAGAGAAGAGACACTGGCACCCAGTGTGCACGAAGACCGTCTCTCTCCAGCCCGCCGGCCGGGCCAGCTCCCCAGCACACAGCCCTGAGTCCTTCTGTAGCTGGAGCCCCCCCAAGTTCCCCCTTGCCATCACCTGCATTTGATGGGGAGAACCCAGTAGGCACAGAAGGAAAAGGGATCCAGAGAAAAGTGGGGTTCAGTCGGCCCAGCCTTGGGATGGCACGCCCCTTCCCTGCAGGCTAACCAGCTCCAGGACCCCCAGGCCCACGTGCAGGGCAGCCTGCCACAGCCCCTGACCCCGGACACTGCAGCAGCAGCAAGACCAGGAGGAGGAACCACAGAGGCACCCGGGTAAGCCCCAATGAGGGTCCGCCGCTTCATGGCCAGGAAGCCAGAGGGAAACCCCAGGCTTGGGGGAGAGCCTCTGGTGGCGGAAGGAAGGGAAGCCCTGTAGAGGATACCCCTGCGCGCTACCCGCCCCCACCCCCGCCAGCCTTGGCCACCCCGGGCCAGGCGGCCCAGCTGGCAGAACTCACCACGGAGAAGTTGCTGGCAGAACAGTGATGCCCACTGAAGTTGCAGCTCTTGAGCATGTCGGCAAGCTGGTGGCCAGTGCGGTTGAGGATGTCTACCATGTCTGGCTCCGGGTAGCGCAGGCCAGCGGCACGGTGCCCATCCCGGTCTTTGGGGGGCAGCCCTGTCAGATTGGCCAGGTGGAAGATGTCGGCATCGCTGAGTGCCGAATGCCGGAAGCGGTTGATGTTGCAGAGGGAGACAGCAGGAAAGCCCGCCACTGGGGCTGGGGCAGCAGGGTCCATTGCAACCAGGTGAGGCCGGGTCAAGTAGCCCCGGGCCAGGCCGGCTGCCTGGTACAGGAAGGCAGCCAGCGAGGTGAGTAAGGCCAGTGCCCACAGGGTTCTGCGCAGTCCATGGGGGCCTGGGCCACAGGCCCGACCCAACCCGTGCAGCGTGCTGGTGCTGGCAAAGGTAGCCAGGTCCCGGGGGGCTGCTGCCCCCTGAGCGGCCCCCAGGAGGCTTTGCTCATCCCCTGCCTCCTTCTCCTTGGGTTTCGCATCCTCCTCAGCAAATTTGATTTTGCACACAATCTCGATCGGCATCTGTCCCCGCCTGCTGGGACTGGCCAGAGCCTCCCTGCCCCTGTCCCTCCCTGGCCAGCAACCCGGGTGCCCTCCGAGTGGCGGTGGTGGCAGCGGCTGCTCTTCTAAACTCAGGGCAAGCGGGAGGAGGACAGGGACAGGGTGGGGGCCCGAGGTGGGGGAGTCACTCCCACTCCCAGCAGCTCCGCAGCCCTGGTGCTGCCTCTGCCGCTGCTGCCTCTGCTGCCGCTTGTCTCTCTCCTCGATCGTCTCCTTGTGGCTTCCCTTATCAGCACCAGCACAGCTGTCAGCCCCTGCGTGTGTCCCTGCGAGCGAGCGAGTGAGCGAGGGAGCGAGTGCTGCTCCGCCACACCGCGCAGCCCCAGCCGCTCCGCTCAGCATGTGCTCCGGAGCCCACCCCGTGCTTAATAATTCAGGACATGTCAACAGCGTTTCACCGGCGGCACGGGCGGCAGGAGCCAGGCCAGGGGAGGGGGGCAGCCCCCAGCCCAGGACAGGAATCCTGGCATTGGGCTGCTCCCCAAACTCTTGCTCCACCCTCACCACTCGTGGGGTCCCCAGATGTCTCCACTACCAGGCCACCTAGGGAAGAGCTCTGTGCCCAGAGCCCTCAGCCCACTCTGCCACTTTTTGGGACCACGCCCCATGAAGGGTCTGCCAACTCTGTCTCCCATCTCCTGGCCTCCCTGACTCCCGATTCTCATACCCAGCCACCACCTGATCCCAATACCCCACTCTTAGCAGCTTCCAGAAACTCCTTCAGAGAGCCACTTGTTTGAATGAGGGAGGGAGAAAGGGGGAGAGGAGGGCTGGCAGGACAGACTAGGGACAAGTGAGGACTCCACCAAGATTCTCGGCCCTCCTAGTGCCTCGCTCCCGACTTCGACACCCACCACAGCCTGCCCGCTCTGCTCCGGGAGGCCGGCTGCTCTCCCTCGCTGTGCCCCAGCCCTAGCTCTGAGGCGCACGTCTGGGACGGAGGGCACGCGGGCCGCCTTGCACACGTGCAGCTACTTTGCTTTCCCAGATCCCTTGCCACAACCAGGCTGGGTTCAGGGGGAGGTTCTGGGTGAACAGGCCAGGGAGAAAAGAGGAGGTAGGAGGTAGAGGAGCTTCAGAGTCAGGGCAGAGCATGTGGAACGGAGGGTTCAAAGTGAGCACTGGACAGAACGGGAAGATGTGCTGAGCTTCGATGGCAGGAAACGCTCTCCCAAGGCAACAGGATGCAAGGGTCTCCAGCCGCCCGCAGAGCAGACCAGGGGAACCCTAGAGGGCTGCTGTCTTCTCCTGGGGGCAGTGGCGGGGGAGGCATGTGGGCTGTCCTCACAGGCAGGGGCGGGGAGCCTCTGTTGGCCGGCCGGGAAGGTATGCCTCGCTGCCCCCAGGGTTGGGGGGTGGCAGCAATAAGCCACTTGTGTTCTGGGGGGGGTCATGTGAGAGCATGAGCTCTCACAGGGGAGGAAGCACTTGTCCCTTGAGGAAAGGGGGGGCTGATTAATCGGGGCACTAATGAGCAGCAGGGAGAGGAAGCTCGGAGGGGCGGGGGAGGCGGGGCCACCGAGCC